CATACCATTTTGTAGAGCTTTTGTTCTATCGAATGGTATCTACATCGAATGTACATGCATTAGGTTTCGAGAAATAGCAAATCTAGTCTGAAAACGTCCGAAAATTTTCGAGCCAACCTAATAAATTCATTCATTAAAAGCCTACAGTGTTGTCAAACTACCAAAAATTTCATTTTCTCTACTTTTACATTTTCACCAGTCCTCTAAATTGTTCATCATCACCGTGACTACTCTTTATCATATGTAAGCGGCTCTGCGTGACGAAGTCGTAATTCTTTTCGTTTTTTTGATGGCTTTAGCATGACTGCTAGGGCTCTTAGCTATGCAGTAAAGGCAAAGAATAACACGCAAAGAGCCTTCAACAAAGGTTATGGCGGCTCCGACTACTTATAACATGGAAGGCTCTTTATCGCGACTTTTTTTGTCATCTATCACGTTTATATTTGTTCGCACTTGCTTTTCTTTTTTTTGGGAAGGGGGGGGGGGGAGAAAAAATGATTTTTTGTAAATCCTCAGATAAACACTTCTGACCTATTCTTATAGTTAGAGAAATCACAAGATGTTTTTTTTCAGATCTGTCATGCTGAACGAAGAATCTGTAACTCTTTCAAACGAAAACAAGTTTTATTGCAAAAAAAATTAAATAAAAATAACTTACCTTCTCTAATCTCGAAAAATTCGATTTAGCTTTCAACTATCACTAGCTTCAAACTTTCTGCACTTTCATTTTTGCTGCTTTGCAAAATTCGTACAAATCTTTTTTACAAACAACTCATTGTGATGAGTTCTGACAGCTGACTTCAGTCTGCTCTCTCTAAGCAGATAACTGCTAATGGCACTCATTCATCCCGATCATTGACTTTTTGACACAATGTTTCCGCAATCAGTCATTTCTGGAAAATATTGTAGGGCTTCGAGAAAAAAAACCAGAAGGGAGGAATTTTCTTTCCTACGAAATATGATCAGCATAATGGTATCAGCAGAAAATGTGTGATGATGTATTTATTTGTATTTAAGAACAAATATATGAGCGTATTTTCTTTTACAGATGAGCAATTTGGAGAGAAGTGCTTTGTAAGTTTAGACTGAAGTATCTTTTTTGATTCGTTTTTTTTTTCTAACACGGGACGATGGAACAAAAAAATCCGGTTTGTACTCAGCTGTACCAGGGCTCGGCACAGGTGGCTTGTAAGCAAGCTGGATATCGTTTTCAGGACAAAGAGCTAAGGGGATATCGTTTTTGAGGCCGAATAGACACAAAAATTGTGGTTTTTTCGTCGACGTTCGTTTTTTGAGGGTTTCTTTTTACTTTTAGAGTTTCGAGTCAAAGGGACTTGGTAAAAATTCGTGAAAGTGAAGGGAACTTCGTTTTTTGCATTCTCCAGAAGCCACCTCGTGTGGAGCACGAGCTGTACGATTCTGAGGGGAGCTAGATTTTTTGTCCCCGTGACCTACCTCAACTGCTCAAAGCACTGCAGAACAGCGTTGTTTTACGTTTTCCTTATCGCAAGTATAGCTATTTGCACGTGCTTTCGTTTTCATAAGATTTGAAATGCATTAATCGTGTATAAATATGGGTTATATAACATACTGATTACACTGAATGTAGAAAAAGTCTCAGATTTTTTTTGAAACATCATTTCCTTTAATACATTTGCACAACAGTTTTCAAGACCTCCGTCTTGGTCCACATTAGCCGTCAAATTAAATCTCGAGTCCTATCCAGTACATACAATCAATTAAACTAGACGCTTCAGGTACGTTAGTAAATAAAATCTTCGAAAATGCTTCATTTGATCTATTTAACTGATCTGCAAAATGCAAACCATATTCGTAGAAAAAATTAAAGTCCTAGTCTACTTTCATTCTTGTTTATTACACTTATTTTTGACTGTATATTATGAAGTCGAATTGAGACTTCGTTCGCACTATTTTTAGAAAATCGTGATTTCTTTCTTTTGCGATAATGTCTCATGACAAAAGTAAAATTAGGAATAGAGGGTTGTATACTTTTTAAGAGCACCTTAACTGCTCTTAATTAAGCTTTGAACAGGGTTAAAATTGGAAAAGAAATTATTAAATTTCGGAATTTGCAAGCCCGTTAAAAATTTCAAATCTGTGCCGTAAGATCCAAAGCAGCCAGTAACCTAGGTTTTTTGATCCCTTCTTTCTAACTGAGCAAAATTCGCGCTGATCGAGCTCTCTTAAAAAAGTTATGATTTTCGAGAAAAAGTGTTAAAATATCAGCTCCTTAAGAAAATTGATTTTTTGACATTTTTCTCAAAAATCACAATCTTTCACAGAACATCCCGATAGCGCGAATTCTGGAATTTTAGAAAGAGTGGGTCAGATAATCTAGGAATACTGTCTGTTTTGGATTTTATGGCACAGTTTTGTAATTTTCAAGGGCTTGACTCAAAATTCCGAAATTTAATTAATATCCCAGTCTTAACTCTGCATTCAAAAATTAATAGACAACAATCAAGTTGCTCTTAAAAAGTATACGCTTTGCTCTTCCTAATGTAATTTTTCGTGCAAGATTATCTTAAAAGAAAGAAGTTACGATTTTTCAAAAATGGTGCATTTTCGGTTTAACCTAATATAAGGTTGTCCCGAAAGTTTTGTCCGTTTTTTCAACCTATCATAAAAACGCGTAGAACGAAGGTAGGGAAACATTCTAAGCACTATCCGACGCATCTTTTCCTTCTCTTTCTAACTGTCATGACATTGAGATAAACGCCGAAATTTCCGCCGAACCCATGGTTTTACTATGTCCAAGTTTGGCAATTTCACAATTTTTATTTTTGACTTTCGGAAAAGCTTTGGCAAAAGTTAGGTAGAGCAAACAAAGCGCAATATAACGCAATTTTTCGGCATCTATAGCTAGCCTCAAAACATTTTTAGAATTATTTTTCTGATGCTATCAAATTCCACTTTTGGTGATGCCAAAAGCCAGATATCATGAAACGGCGCACAACTAAGGTGTTATTCGATGCAGCTTTTCCTCCTCTTTCCAGTGAGTGTATTTCCTCTCCAATTTGCGGGGTCTTTGGCGATAAAATTTTCATAATTCCTGAATTTGACCCCACCCCAGCGTGTACACGTAAAATGCAAAATCTTATATTTCGAAGCGGTAAACGCTCATTTGCTTCGTAACAATAGTGAATAATCGTAATCGGTTTTTGGAAGCTTCAAAATCCGATGATTTGTTAGTGTTCGAGGCGTTTCTGTATTATAAAACTTCGCAGAGGTGAAGACTTTTGAAAAAATTATCTTTAAAAATATTGAAAAGCCAGCTAGATATGCCAAATGATTGCATGGCATTGCTCCCTTTGCTTACTCTACCTGAGGGCTATCAAAGTTCTTCTAAAAGTTGAAAATGAAGATTGTGAAAAATTGTCAAATTTGGACATAGTAAAAACCGTGTGTTCGAAATTTCGGCGTTTATCTCAATGAGCAAAAGAGTAATCGGCATGTGGGCTTGACATTTAGAAAGAGGAGGAAAAGATGCGTCGGGTAGTGCTCAGAGCGTTCCCTATCTTTGTTCCACTTATTTTTATGATAGGTTAAAAGAACGGACAAAACTTTCGGGACAACCTAATATATCAAAATATCTTCATTGATTTGTTTACTCTTCATTTTCATGTCATCGTTTCGTACATTTTCTTCATCAACTATTTTGTTTTAGTAACTTGTAACGTAATTTTTTTCTTTTTATCACTTTTGATGGTATGCTAGACTATATAAAGTTTTCAAACCAAAAGAATGAATCTATGTAAAATTCAATGTCAAAATTAGATTTTTGTGTCATAAGTTCAGATGATTATGTCCCATTTTGTGTCACATAAACCCTAAGACTTTCAAAACGAAGAATTTATTCCTTTAGAAATGCCGTAAATTTCCAGGCATAGCTTCCCCCTTCTATCCTATGCAAAGCATTCTCCGCTAGGCTTCCACTATGCTGTGCAGACAAATCGTAAAAGTCGCTCAAAAACTAAGCTAGTAGTACAGCCGCATACATCTGCCTGGAAACTTTTTCTACCGCAGCGAGATGACAGATTCCCTGGAAACTCTCTTTTGCTGAAGACGCGATATGGGCGGAAAAATGAAAAATGGAAGGTTACTCGACCAGCTCGGATATCTGCTGTACGCGATCTCGTGCGTGCAAGATTCCGTCATTCATTAGAGCTTCGTTATTGAAAATATTTTTTGCTCCCATTTTGTATTACAATGAACATCGAGCTGTGCAGTAATTTGCCGAGTGTAATTTGCCTCACTTGTAGATCTTAAGAAGTTCTAGTACCTCAGCTCTTGGCCCAACTCATCTCAATACATAAATTTCGAAACCGCATGTTTAATTTTTATGATAATTGAAAAACTGTTGATTCTTTGTATCCTTTTGGCCTTATGCCACTTCTCGAAGCCAGAGTAAGTAGAGAAGAGGAAGTTATTCGAGGGTTAATCAAAGCTTTTTGACATTTATAAAAATGTGTGTACTCTCTTTTTGCCGCTGAAATCTCATGTTTGAGCTTGACATTGAAAAAGTAACGGTCATACTGAATATCTTCGTCTAATCTCTAAAAATTTGCAGGAAAGAGGTGGAAAAAGTCATTGAGGCGAAAAATGAAAGTCATCTTAAACATTGCTTATTTACTTGCAGGCTTTGCAAGTCTAAAGAATTCAAAGCTATCTCCGAAAAATCCTTACGCCTTACATAATTACGATGTCAGACTCTCCTCAATCTTCTTCGGTTCAAGCCGAGGTGGAAAGCTGCACTGTTGTTCATTTCGAAATATGGAATTTGGAGGAATTTGACCTCAATTTTCGTTTCCTGCTTGTTCTTACTAGTCTTTGAATGAGGCGACTCTCTGTAGTTTCTGGCAAAAGTTCATTTTTGCCTTAAGGCTGTGTAACAAAACATTTTTAGAAGCAAAATAACCAATATTACTAACTTCTCGCATATTCATCTGCTCGTTATCACACCCTTCTGTAAATAAAAAATGACAGTAAGATTTTCAGAGGAAGGCCAAAGCTGCTTAGCTTGTCTTTTGGATGTAGCCAGATCCATGGGTGATCCAGTACATTTGCATATGGAAAATGGAAAATTGGAAAATGGTCAGGACACACTGTGCTCAAATGCTATAAATGCGTTGCGTGCTAGGATAATACAGGTGAGCTGGACCCCGTTCTGGTTTCAAAATCCGTGTGCCCGATTACGGTATTATCCCAGAACTTAGGAGCATCCTTAATTTCATTTGTTCGTTTTTCATTTCTGGATCAATTTGCGAAGTTTTTATGCAGGATAAACTCTCGCGAAAATGCAGTGAAGAGGATCTGAAACGCATGAACGATGGCAATTGGTGGCTAAGCACTTTTGTACGAGCACATAACTATGATGTGGACATCACTTATGCTGTAATAGCTGAATGCATACAATGGCGAAGGAATTTTCAAGTTGAAAGTAAGAAAGATTTATTGGTAGTCTAGCCAAACTTGGGCGGAAGTTCCCGGATACATCGTAGAGTTTCTTGCTGTGGCGAAAATTCTTTCATATCATAGCTCCTTAATTTTTGACTTTTTGAGAAAGAAGTATTTTGCAAATTGCAATTGTCGATGATGAAAAATCTTTATGAATGCCCAGAACTTTAGCTTAGTTCTTTAGAAAATCAAATTCTTTTCAGTTTTTGACACCAAAAAATTATCATTGCTGTGAATCAGAGTCTTTGTTTCATCATTTGCATATTGCATTTTTTGCATCACTTAACTCAATATTCAAATCTGCCTTGAGGTAACATTTCAGATATTAGTATCTTGGGTATGAAACCATTACTTGATCGACGTGTGGCGTATTTGCACGGAAAGGATCTAGCCAATTATTCAATTCGTAAGTTATTGCTTTTTAGCGTTCCGCCACTTATTGTCAGAGAAAACAATATTGATAGCAGTTTCTCAGACTAGAAAAGCCTACGCTGTTGATTGAAAGTATTTTCATTCACAAAATGGGACAAGGCTACTAGAAATTTGTAATAAAGCAGAATGCATAGGTTGCGAGGGAAGTTAGTCTATTTAGTTAGTTATTAGTTAGTATTTAGTTATTTATTAGTTAGTTTAGTTTAGTCCTGTTTGATTACTAATCGGTGTAGTGGTCCTTTTCTTTAGTCTAAGACGAAGCACAAAATTCTGAGGTTTCCCACTTTTCTCCACATTAAGATAGTTTTTGAAACGAGAACTGCTATATAATGTGGAGAATAGTAAAAATTATGGGAATGCACATGACTATCCCGAATTGACGAATATTGTTTGAATTGCAGTCTGGATAAACCTAGCCCAATATCGGCCTGGAGACACTGGTTTCGAGAACGTTTTTGTATTTTGGCTTGAACGTCACACCATGGAAACCAAGGCTCAGCCGCTGACAATCTTAATTGATATGACGGGTGCAAGTATGAAGAATATGGTAACGTCGGTCAAAAATAAATGCGCATAGTCAAATTTTCATACTTATAGGATTTCAACATATTCAAGTTTATGCTGCATGCATTGAAATATTATTATCCGAGCACTGTTCGCGATATGCTTGTGTTCGAATCGCCAGTAATGTTAAACGCATCTTGGAGGGTAAGTCATCTTTTATTGATAACAAAGTAGACATTGGTTGCAAACTTGACAAAAAAATTGTGTAATCACTATGAAAAATGAGAGTTCCCAAGTATAAAAAAGAAGCTGTCACAGACAGCTTTTACAGCGGCGCGCAGCGCGGTCATATCTGTCTGCGTATCTCCGGTCTACATACTCTCTCTGCGACTCGGAGGCGTTACAGACGCGTTGCTGGGCTCTTTGTAGGGTTATTTGCACCAGCACGATCTCTATGGATTTTTCTTATCTTGCTAATTGAAATATGACCGAAATTTCAGCAGAAAAATTGAGCAACTATAACATATGCCTGTTGAGTGCAGATTATTTTTTAATTCGATAGAATTTAACGAATTTTCAAGTAATAGTTGCCTATATGTATTTGAAACCTGAAAAGGGCTAAGTTGAAAAAATCAAACTAATAAGAACACTATTCAAATTGGAGAAGAACCGTGCGTAGGAAAGCAAAAGCTAAAGTTGACCTAAATTAGCTACATTTTGCGCCAAATTTTGCGATTCCCTCCTATGTGCCCCATTGATCCAGTCATTCAAATTTTTAGGTGGTAAAATCCTGGCTTGACCCGGCTCATCCACAAATCCAGCATGTTACTCGACATAACATCAACCAGTTCGTCGACAGCAAATATTTGCCATCACATATGGGCGGCGAGGTGAGTTCTCTTCATTAGTTTTAGCTCCTAGCCATAAGCTCGACTATTTCACCAAGGTACGCGTGGCCAAAAAGCGGTAGTTCGAATATCCAAATTACTCGCAATAAAATCGGACGCACTTGTTTAGTACGAGAGAGGTGTAATAAGCGAGCGTTGCTCGTAGTATCCGTTGCACACACGACAGCTGCGCCATCGCCCTAAGGGTGGTGTGTGACCAGCGAAAATTTTCACTTCTCAACCCCGCGAACACCGCAGCAATCATTTTTTCGCTCTGCACTTCAGCTTTGCCCTGCTTACTTACTCTACTGCACATTCGAGGTGAGTTTTATGATGTAGTCAAAACTGGTGAGTCTTCTGCGAGTGCACACGTTGTTTGTAAAGTGCCGCCTAGGTGATGCCGCGAATATGCGTCGTGTCTCGTCGACGTGACAAGTTCTTATCGGGCATTTACCCAAAAATATGGTCAGCGAACTCAAGTGAAAACTGATAAGAACATGAAGTTCAACAGAACGCTCGAATGCGTGCTCAAAAGCCTTTTTCACCTTCCTCAGAGCAAAAGCGTCTTCATACACTATATATTTGGGAAAATATCCCACTTGCCAATTATCGAAGGTTTTCAAGTATTCATATCCTCTCTTAGGACATTTTCATTCCACACAATGCATTTCGAATAGAGGGAAATTTGTTGTTTTTGGCGGAGCGCAGAATTTTGGCATATATGAGCTTACGAAAAATATGGGATTTCTAATGATTGGGTCATAAAATCCAAGATGCGAAGAGGATACGTGTTCAATTTTTTACTTTGTACTTCCTTCCTGCTTGAAAAATTTTTTTAAATGTATGCATAGAGTTTATTATACCCTCTTTTTCACATTAACTTCGGAAATGCTAGACACTCGGGTAGGGGAACGAATTCCGCCAGTTTGAGCCCGCCTTCCCTGGCAACTGGTCCTTTTGCTATACTGTTGCATGTCGTTGCAGGACCAGTAGTCCGCGGACGCGGTTCACATTCATGGAGTTCGTTGCCCACTCTTAAACAGCGTTTTTTTATCTGCATTTCTCTTCAAATAATCTTTTGCTCTTTCTGTAGAATGTCTTGCATCTCCTTGGTATCTTGGCGAAAATAAAAACTTGCCTATTGAAGAAGAAAAAGTGCCAAACAAATCACAATTATGTACATCAAGTCTATATTACGCCAATTTTGGAATAGGAATGTTCCTGCGCATATTTGTTTCGTTATCATCTTCTATAGGCCGAATAATGCTAAATTAGATGCGTGATCGAATAGAAGGAGCTCAATGGATCAGACTTATAGGATATTGATTCTTCACTATGATGGGATACCAAAACGCTTTGCCGTTTTAGAATATCTCGGTCATCTCATAAATGTCGAAAAAAGCTGAAAATGGCTTGTCGAAAAACTTCTTCAACGAGCATAGTATTAATCTGCACATCACACTTCGATACGGCTTCATTACTTTTCAAGGGAAACTGAGCAGATAGAACTCTATGTCTCTCAAATTCTTCTTTGAACGAAGAAATGATTACGAGACCGGCTAGATTCTTGAAAAACCTTTCATCATAAGGACCAAATCAGTGCTTATTTGTCGTAAGCATACTCAGGCATGTTCAGACTAATAGGAATGCAACATATTTTTCAGGTGTGGACAAATCTTGAGCATGAGTTGCAAATTTTGCAAGCCTTTAAAGGCAGTGCCCGGGCAGATTTTGCATTCCCTCTTTTTGCATGTTTCGGGCCTATTGGGCCTATTCGACCCGTAGATCCGAACTTAACCTATGGAACGGGTGAAAAAACCTTTTTCGGGGCGTTTACCCAATTTCCAAAAGGCAGTTCGGACGAGAATTTCAATGGAAAGTTGGGAAGCCTTGATACGAAGACCCTGCTGCCTGTAATTTCTGCTTTCGATAGCATGCAGAATGCGGGAGAGCGGTCGTGGGGTCCCGCGGCGAACGGTAAGCGAAGTCGTCCGAGCGCGCGCCGGTTGAAGGGTTACGGCTCATGGGGAACATCAACTCGCCGGACTGCGCCTGGAGGTCAGCGGGATGACCAGTGGCCGTATTCATTAACGAACAACCCAGTGGGTTCCGGAACCCAGTTCAGTGCTTTTGATGAATATCGATTCTACTCCAGGGTAGAATCGATATTCATCAAAAGCACTAAATGGGTTCCGGAACCCACTGGGTTGTTCGTTGATGAATACGGCCACAGGAATCCCACCATAGCAATACCGCCCCCAGCGCGATTCTGCCGGGACACTGCCTTTAGTCATAGCCAGAAAAGCCCGTAATAGTCTTTTACACAATTAGGGAATTTTATGCATTATTGGAGCGTCAGTGGCTTGATACCCTTTGGTCAGGTTAGGTACCTATTAGCCGTGACATTCTGGTTCTGATGTCTTCGTCCTTCCCTTTCATCTCTTTGAGAGCTAGGAACTATTAAGTAACTATATCGTGACAAGTACAAGTACAAATTTGTATGCATACTTTGATCATACATATTTTAGGATACATTTGTCTTTACTATGGATGACCTCGCAAAATGCCTGCCAGCTGGGCGCCAGGAGAATGGCAACTCGTCCGATACCGAGCTGATTCAAGAGAAGAACAATCTGGACAGCGTGGTCATGAAAAGGGTAGGTTTTGAGAGCTTTGCACTCTATGAAGAAGTAAGAGTCGTAAAGATTTGAAAAAGTATGATTGATGAAAGACAAGCAGACCATTACTCAGGACAGTGTAGCACATCAAGTTATGGGTTTTGCTTATGTGTAAGAGGTGCTGCTACGTACAGCGTCATTTTTTGGCGGAAGAAAAGGAAGAAATGGTGCTTGAGTGACACACGTAAGCTTGAAGACTACTTTACATACGCTAACACTTTACTGCTGTAAAAGTAATGGAGGGTTTTGGAAAAAGGAATCCTATAAAAAACAGAAAAATGAGTGGTGGAAATGAGATTTTACAAATTTTTACACTCAAGCTTTGGAAGGTGACTTGCAAAAATCTTTCTTAGTGGAGATGTGGCACGTTTGCTGGGTTCGAGATAGATAACAAAGAAGTCAGAACATTATATCATCTAATCTATGACCAAGAGACGCGGACTGCATTGCGGACATTGTCTTAACAAGTTTGAATTTGTTCATCCCTGTTTTCAAAAAGTAAATGAACCTGGACGGAATAATGACAAGTATGAACCTGCTAAATACATGATTAGGCTAGTTTAGACAATGTGTGCAATGCGGTCTCGCGTCTCCTAGTCATAGAATAAATGATAAATATTTTCCTTCCTCTTCCTCAATGGATCTTCAACTTAGTGCCAGATAGTAAAAACCCAGCGCTAGGAAACTTTTTGCGAGCAGTGTTTATTGCACAACACTATTCTAAGCTTCTAGAATGTTTGCTTACATCATAGTTTTGTACGCATCGCAGTTTTGTACGCATTAATCAATACTCGAGTCGCAGGGAATCTGTGAAATGCAGACGCTGCCGCGGCGCGGTTCGCGTGCCTCGATTTATTCCATTTTGGCAGCAGTAATAGCAGACAAACTCTCTGTCGAGACCAACAATTGAAATAAGTCATAGAGAGGTGCCCTAATGCTGTTTAAGGATTAATGAAAGAAAATGTTTTGAATTTTCTGAAAAATCCTGAGCCCTCATTTTTCTCTCCCTTTGAAAGTAAGATGTAGCTTTCGTTCTAAAACTTTTGAAATTAATAATATTGCAGGCAGTGACATTTGATGATCACGACGACGACATAATAAGGGAAGTCCCGCTAACCTTGAACTCTCGAAAAATGAGCAATGGGAACGGAAATGTGAAACGAAGCATACCCCAAACATTGAAGCCCGTCGTTGATGCCAGATTGAATAGTCCCGAGGTGGACTGGATTAAGAATGCCTTCCTCTATATTTGGTTTGTTTCATTTTCAAAAAAAATTTTTTTATTCTGCCAAATTTGGCACCTCGTCAAAAGTGCATGGATTACATAGAAAATTTATCAAACTTAGAACTCATTATTTTTTCTTGCTTTACTTTCCTGTCTGTTTACAATAGAATGGGTTTTTAAATTTTCCAAATAGCCTACATAGGTTTAAAATTGCGCAGGAATTTTTTATTTTTTTCATTTGAATTAAATTAAATGGTTTCTTAATTTTTTTTCAAAAATTCAAATAAGCCTTGTAGATTTTTGTCCGGGCCTTATTATTGCCACGCTTTCTTGAATTTAAATGTTATAGGCACGCAAAATTTTTTTGAAATTTTCCCACCATTTCCTTTACTTGGTAAAAATTTGCTGCCGTTCCCGCTCTCTCGCTTGAAAATTCTCCTATCTAGAGGGCTAGTGTCCTAAGTTCAGAAGAACGATTTATATATTTATAATCCACTTTTGTAGAACCTGAAGGAATCGTCTTGAAAAAAAAACTAAATTTTCAGATGTTTCGCATGACTATTTTGTTGAGTTGTTGATTCATTAGACCTTTTCAAATTACGTCTGCCAAGCAATCCTCAAGGTTTTTCTTTCAAGTATAATTTTTGGATATATGTCGTAGTGAATGTATCTGTCGCTTAGGTTCTCGCTTATCATGTTTTTGTGGGACCACAAAATCTCAGCATTTTGATTTTCCTTATTTTAGCCCCCGTGATGTTCTCACTCTCCATCGGGTTGAAAATTTTGCCGAATATGTGGAAGTGGTTGCTATTCGAAACACATCAACCGAATCAGTGATGTTCAAAATCAAAACCACCTCACCCGAGAAGTTCCGAGTGCGGCCAAGCATGGGTACCATATCACCTGGATCAACTGAAATCATCCGAGTATATCTTCAAAGTGGTGAGTCATAAAATGCGTTGGGGACTTATGAATGGATTTTTAATGAGGGAGGAAGTTTTATATTGCCCGTTTACAATTTGTCACTGTATTGCCTGTTTTCTCTTACGCTTTCGTGTCTTTTCTTCTATCTTGATACAGGGCTCGGCACGAGGTGGCTAGTTGAAAATGCAAAAAACGAAGTTCCCTTTGATTTTTGCGAATTTTTACGAAGTCCCTCAATCCAAAAAAATCTGAAAGTTGACTAAAAAACGTTGCAAATCTTGTGTATTTTCGGCAACAAAAACGAATCCCTCTTGCTTTTTGTCCCAAGAACGATATCCAGCTTGCTTATAAGGCCAAGCCCTTTCTTTATATCATTTCAAAAAACAACTCTTGAGAAGTCTCTTCTATAGGCTGCCGGAGCGGGGAAGAAAGAAAACCGAAAATTGTCTAGAATCACTCAAGCATGATAGTGCGGAGTTTTTGAGACCCAAACTGTGATGCCGGCCCAGCCGGGTAAATAATGCAAAATTTTTTTGGAATGGTAGATTTGAATCGGTTAGGCGATACATAAATTTTTTTTACGCTTTTTCTGCTGATGTATAGACAAAGCTAGTGGCTTTTCAGTAACTAAGCGACCCAAAACATACTGCCGAATTCGAAAATTAGTATAATTAATGAAAATCAGTGGATTCGTAGCTATAAAACACCTCCCCCCTCCCCCACCCATCCTCTCCCCCCCCCCCATAAAATTTGGAACCGGAATCCGAATTCTGGATTTGTAGAAGAGATGGAGCACCCCATCAGCAGCTTGCAATGTCTTCACTGAATTCAAAAGGCTTTACTTCAGTACTCTGAGAAAAAAACAAAGAAATGTTTGCAGAGTACAAAACGTCATGCAATAGGGAAAAATTCTTGCTGATGGCATTGGAAACAGAAAACAACAATTTGGAAACGTTTACGGATCTATGGAAAAAGGTCGATAGGGAGAAGAAAGTCGAACAAAAGTTGCGATGCAGAGTAAATGATGATGGTTCAAATGATAGTCCTGACAAGCCCGAAAGAAAGATTAGCAGCGGATCTCATGTAAGTCAACTAACTGTTCGTTATCAGCTTTCATTTTGGTGGTTAGCAGCACGCTGATAATCAAACATGTGTTGAATTAATTCTTTTCTCGACGTTTATTAGCGGATCGAAGGAAGAGGGACAGGGGGTGGGGGTGTTTGTCGCGATATTTTTGTGAACCTACGCGTGCCATTTGTTTTTATGTAAATAATTAAAATGTTTTTTTTTCGAAATTGTAAAGAATTTTTCTACAATTCTTAATGGCACGACCCTCTTCAGAACTATGGAGTTGAATCTCAAAAAAATTAGGAAGCACAATTTCTCAGGATTGTGACTAATGCCACGCTTATCCTGTCACGCCCACCTCCTCGAGAAAAATTTCTAACAATAAGTCCGCTATTGTATGTAAAAAAAGTGTACTTTTTTCAATTTCTTAAGAGATCCAGGTTTTGCTTTAAATTCTCGTGGACATGTCCGTGTTTCTATTGTTCATCAGCCATAAAACATTGGTCGTCACGCTTTATGGGTTGACGATTCAGATTTTTCTTTTCCGGTGCTATATTTCTTCTCTGATCTGTGCTTTGCTATTATCCCCATGGCTGTTCAGGAAGTTAGAACGAGGAACCCCGAACAAGCCTCTAATGTGAAAAATTTTATCATGTAGACTATCTGGGCTACTTGTTAGCTATTTCAGATTGCCTTGACAAAGGTTTTGTAGTTTTAATAATTATCTTCGAGTAAAATTTCACCTTTTTGAGAGTAAATGTTACTTGCGGAACGTAGAATTGTTTGAGGATTACTTGAAGAAGCATCCTGCGTTATATTGCAAGAATATTGACCGATAATAATCTCTAATTCGCTATCATCTTCTAGGAAGTATGTCGCAGTCATACTGATTTTGAGATCTCTGTAAAAATGATGTTGTGAAACTCCAAAAAATTCGCAAAGTATCAAAAGCAGTCTTGTGGAGCTCAAAACTTGCATTAGTCTGACTAATTTCTTATCTGAATGTCTGAAGTGAAATTTCTCTGGTTAAGTGAAAGATTCTGACAATTATCTAGAAGCATTTGAGAAATTTTGGAGCAGAACCATTGAAAAAAAGTTACGTCGAATGCTTTTATGCATTCTTCTCTGTCATCATTTTGCTCACTTTCATAATCGTTAAGAAGAGCGCAATATTTTTGAGATCTAAGACAACACATAAACAGGCACTGTGTTCAATATTCAGAAACAGTTTAGGATTTCTCTATTTCTAAAAATGTTTTTTCAGCAAATCGACCAACTTCGAGCAGAATGCAACGCATTACAACGCACGGTCTATCTACTCGTACTGATAGTACTGGTTCTTTTCCTGGTTGAATCAGCAGTGCTCATCTACGCCAGGTCAAACAACCACGCATTGAGAGCTTCTATCGCCGAGCTTGAGGGCAGGCTGGATTCAATTCAGTGTGAAAACGCCACGTCTCCTTCCCCTTCCATTTCACAAAGTGAAAGGCCACCGGTGATCTACGAAGAAGATCTATGATTATGATGCCATTCAGTATTAATAAATATTATTGTAATGCTCATACTTGAAGATGGAGAAATCTTATGGGAGGTGCTGCTTGCAGAGCTCAGCACCAGTTGGAAGCGTGGAGCTTTCAAAACGACGCCCATTTTGATATTTTCTAGGAATTCTCTTCTGAGCATTTCCGACCTTCCCCTTCAACAGAGAAAGGGAAATAGAAAGGCAAGTAAAACTAATACTGAACTTGGCTTATTTAAGGGGGAGCTCTGCATCGGAGCAGATTGCCCTGCAACTTTTTTTCTTGATATAAAAAAGCCAAAGAAAAAAGTTATGAATCATTTTTTGCTCGTATGAAAACTTTTACGGTGTACAATGTATGCTAAAAAAAAGAATCACGTGATCAAAGGGTGATTCCAGCTCAGCTGGAACGTTAACTAACTCTGAAAAAACTTGAGAACAGCCAAGTAAATAACCCAACTTGATAAATGTTCCAGCACTTCAGCAACTAATAGTATTGTGAAACATCTCAAATTATAAAAGTCACCTGCAAAAAGCTGTTTTTGAGGACTTACCGCGGGGGTGACGAAGACAGATTGAAGATTTGCATCTCGGTGCAACAGTTGTTATATTAGGTTGTCCCATAGGTTTTTTTCAATTTTGGCTTTTTACCGCAATAAGTCACACGCTTCTTGATTCTGATTAGAATGCAGGGTACCGTTCGATAGAGCAAAGCAAGCTGTACAAGGTGCCATGTAAGTTTTGCACCAGCTTCACCACGTCACGAATTAGAAGCCGAAGTCTGAGAACTTTTGGATGCCCGCAAAGTAAATTTTTTTTATATCTTTGTTCAAAGAAGACTTACCAGATCTCAAACTTGCTCAAGCATATACACTCCACAAAAGACATTCACATATGCCGTTCCTGCGTTTGTTTTTGTGCGAGAAACCGAGAAAACTAAAGTTTCTAAGCTTCCGAAAAAGGGATGCTGCGCTGTTCTCACATAAATAAATGTATACTGCGGGTCTTCAGAAATACACCGGTAAATTTTAGGCTTCCCGGAAGGGCTAGTTTCTGATAAATACCGAATAGCTCTTTTTGCCAGCGTTTTCGTGTTAAAATCAATCTTTCTCGAGAACTGACGCTTTTAGGAAGCTGAAAATATACAGATGTATTTCTGAAGGTCTGTGGTATACACTTACATATGTGAGAACAGTGCAGCATAGCTTGGAAAGTTCAGTTTTCTCGGTTTCTGGGACAGAAACAAACAAAGCAACGGCATATATGACTTGTGTGGAATGTATATGCGTGAGCAAGTTTAGGATCTGGTAAGTCTTCTTTGAACAAAGATATGAAAAATTTTCGTTTTTTGGGCATACAAAAGTTTTCAGATTTCAGCTTCTAATTCGTGATGTGGTGAAGCTGGTGCGAACACTTACACGGCATCTTGTACAGCTTGCATTGCTCTATCAAACGGTACCCTGCATTCTAATCACAATCGAGAAGCGCGTGAATTTTGCGATACAAAGCCAAAATTGAAAGAGCTTATGAGACCTAATATTTTACACTAAGTGAGCTTTCCCGGAGAATTATTTCAAGGTTGTGGCTATATAAGGTTATTTTGTAGTTGTTTATGTCTCCCAACGCTTTTGGCTTCAGGGGGCATCGTTGCGTTTAGTGAGTATGTCAGATCACTCCTCAAACCAAAGTCAAAACTTTATTGACAGCAAAGCTCTGAAAGGTTAGGCAAAAGCTGGTGCTAGTTAGACAGTGAATTTCATAAATTTTAACTTCGGACTACGCATGCTAAAGCACTTTAGCACGAGTACAAGACGCACCAGTTTTTTTGCAAACTATACCAGCATGAACACCCCAAAAGATTTTGCGACCAAAGGACCCTAAACTTGCTGCGTATTTCTGAGGGTATCATGCGGTAAGTTTCGTCTGTCAAAAAACAACGACCCAGCCGAGCGGCTTGCTTAAAAAATCAAAAAATCCGTCTTCTACTCGTAAAAATTCGGTAGTATAAACTTTGGCAACACCTCTAAGTCGCGACTTGAGCAAAACCAATGGCTGTGACCATACCTGCATGTCATAACAAAAGTGCTTACTTCGTATTCAGTTACAATTCGTAGACTTTTGTTTATATTTTCGTTTTATGTAAAGTGAAGCTTTACATACTTTTTATGCAAAATATTTCTGTCTGTAATAAATGCATATATGTGGGGAGCTAACTGAGAGTGCGTAAAAGTAAGTCCCGTTTCAGTTTTCCGGTCCGTTTCTCGTTGGCAGCGATTGGTCTCCATGTTTACAAGATTTTTGCATATTCAATAAGTGAAAAAATAAAGAAATAAATGATCAAAAGTAATTATATAATGAAAACTTCCAACCTCAGAAAATGATTTCAATACACAAAACCACCGTTTTTGCAACATCTTCTTGTCGAAACCATCCAAAAAAAGAAGGTTTGTAAACTTCTATGTTAGAGACTATCTCTGCCGATCCCAACCCGTCTCTTCTTTTTAAAGTTATTATGATTTGCTGAATGATTTGTCGGTAAAGTTTAAGGTATTTGTTTATGAAAGTTTGATGGCTTACTATTCGTGTAAGTGAACTAATCTATGTCGTCTTCAATTGAAAAGTTCCTGCCCGTTAATAAATGTTGTAAACTTTTGATTCTGCTTGCCTCTATTATCGTTAAATCTTCACAATCTTCAGTCAGCAAAATTTGTGACACCAGTTTATGAGAAATTGTGGGCATCGTGATGGATGAGTCAAATTCGGCAAACACAACCTAAATCTCAAACAATGACCAACCGCTTTACTGCAATGAAGCCGGTAGTCTAGAGAAAAGGGCGCGCTCAGCTAATTGTATCTTTCTTATGTCTGAACACCTCTCCTTTTGTGTCTTCTTTGTCCCGATTTTGATAAAACGATTTTTTATTAATTAACTGCGAAATAATTCGTTGAAAAAGAGTTTCTGCTTGATATGGGATTTATTCATTGGATTTCCTCTCGATGTCCAAAATTCATCGTCCTGGCAGATGTTGCTAGTCAATCCTTTTCCGAACATTCTGTTTTGCTGTAATTATTTTGACAGATGTCTGTCACATCAATTTTCCTCACTTTTTTAACTGTTTGTTTTCTGCTTAAAAATAGCTAAAAATGGATGCACTATAATATACACGTACCTGCCGGGTATAGATGACGGCTAGTATTATCGTTATGCCTTCTTCCAGATCGACCAAAAAGAAAAAGGCTCTTCGATCCCATTTTCCAAAATGGCTGCTGTAAGCACCGAGTAAGATCTTTTATACGGTTTATTTCACGCTATACATACATGAAAAATTCTTCAGATCTTTTATCGATGCGGAGCTAGACTTCGGGTTGGACATGCTTCGGCAAGTCCCTGCGAATGCGCAAACGGTTGTCTCTCCTCTTTCTGTCATTCTTGCTCTGGCTATGGTTCAAGCTGGAGCGAGAGGACGAACTAGAGCACAAATAAACGAGGTCATCTCTAACGGTATGGTTATCACTATTATTATTTACCAGTGCGTCACCTCCTCCTATCCGTGGATATAGCCTTATGTATCTATAGCCTTATGCTCGCTCAATGATGACTCTAAAACTCACCACGCGATGCTGAACATCACGAAAGAATCGTAAACAACTGTTCATTCTTGAAGCATCTCCATGTAAGATCGATGTTGAGAAGAGAAACGTTTTCGCAAAGGAACACCCGAAAAGCGAATTTGAATGGATTACTGATCTTGTTTTGGCTTGATAGTCGTCATAAAAATGATAGTCATTTTGAGTTACTTTTCCGTGTAAAAAACCTTTTAAATTTCAAGTTAAAACTTTGCCAAATCGACTATCTAGACGACCACCAGCGCAAAAAACCAAACTTTTTGAGCACTTTTTGAGCTAGAATTCCTGGCGCTCAGAGTTACTTGTCAGGCACACCATAACTTTGCAAAAAGTCGAATAAGCGACCTAGTTTTGCTTGCCAAAGCAGGGTGGGCCCGTTTGAGGCTCAAATTTTGAAGGACCCTCTTATTGAACGGCTCTTCCTTGTGCATGGTGGACCTACATACTGCTGTGATATGTTGTGCAAAATTGGAGCACGATAGCTTGGCTGCAACTCACTCTATGAATTTCGTGACAGACAGACATACACACACACGGACAGACAGACGGCCTTAGCGCTTTATTATAAGTCATGATCGATTTCAAAGAATTTTTATCTGTCAACTCAAATTCGAATTCAAACTCAAATTAGCAGTTTTTGATATTTCACTATACATCTTGATAATATAATCAGAACTAACAATAACCTCACACTCGGGGATAACTTTACCTCTACCTTTACAACCATTTGAAAAATAAATTCAGGAGCAAACAATACTGACATAGAAAATTTCTACTCGGAACTCTCACAGGATGTCTTAAATGTTACCAACGATGTTCAAACAAGGATTGCAAATGCGTTCTATTTGGAGTAAGTTTACTGGTTTCCCGTTTTACGATAGGAAAGTCTGTTCAGCAAACGATACACTATTGAAAAACAGTATGAGGCTACAATCAAGAAAAAATATTCTGCCAAGGTAGAAAAGCTTGATTTTCAGGCGGCAAAAGCTACTGCTCAGGTGAGCATACATAAAGGGTAGTAAACTTAGCCTAATTTCTAAATTGAAGGTTATCGACAAGTTTATAAGCGATACAACAGAAGGGAAAATACAGAATATGGTCACTGAACAGACTGTTATGGGTAAGTGTGCATGCTTTAGTTTTCATTCATCTATTATATTATATTTAGTATCTCTTTAGGTGCCTTTTCACTCATTGTAAATGCGATTTATTTCAAAGCAAAGTGGATGAGGGAGTTCAACAAAGATTTGACTCAAAATGCGACGTTTTATTCTTCGGAGAACAAACGGAAGGAGGTGGGTACCTTGACCAGGTTTCTCGCTCAGCGCAAAGTTTTCCAAAAAAGCGGGGAGGCACCAGAAATTTCTCGGCAAACAAAAGGCTGATTGTTTTCGAACAAACAAGATTTTTCTCCACATCATAGTTCTAAACATATGCATATGATGCCCCCTACGAATTTGCAGTCATTTGACCCGTATCCTGCACTTTGTCATCAATTCGAGCGCCAAATTTCAGATAGAATTCATGAATGAATTTCAAAAAATGCGCCTATATGCTGAAAACGATGATCTGCAAGTCTTGACGCTTCCTTATAAAGACACCACTTATGCGTTGAGTATACTGCTTCCAAAGAAAAGGTATTGCAACTTTGAGGACATTGGAGGCTCTTGAAATTTGTGCTTGAAGGTTTGCTCTCGATGCAATCAGAAATAAGACGAATGGAGCTGCATTACGCAATCTTTTGAGCCAAGTGAAAATGGAGTTCACGACGGTAGGCACAAACTTCCGCCGCATCAAGTTTTACCTAATTATTCTACAGATTTCCATTCCAAAAATGAAAATCGAAACAAAGTTCGAGCTGAAAAAAGCATTGATCTCGATTGGTATCAATGAAATGTTCACTAACAATGCCAATTTGACCGGAATCACGAAAGAACCTCCACTCAAAGTATCCGATGCTACGCACAGAGCATTAATTGAGGTTTGTAAATATTATTAAAAGAAGATGGCTGCAATGTTAGTGATCGTAGATGTTAGTGCGATTGAAGCAAATAATTTTACAATGGGTCGCACAATTGTTGTCTTAAAAACGGGATTAGGCTAAAAGACGTCGATTCGCACTCTCCAGCGCTAAGATTTCTGCGTTTGCGCTCAAAGCAATGTTAGAGAGACCAAAGAAAATAAGCGGACTAAAAATTGGCACAAATTGTAGTACAGTACAGCACTGTCAAGAATTCCAATTTACCAGACCAGTGACAAGGGTGAGGGTCATGTGATTTTGCTGTCATCTGCCTTCGGACACGCCATCGCAGAAATACGAGGTCATGACAGACCAGACAAGAAATTTGGTCGGGAAGTTAGAAAACTTTCTTACCGGGAGAGAAGCCTATAATACTTGTGCATTCGTTGCCCTGCTGTAATTTTTGCTCATGTCGCCACAGTCAAACTCCCAGACCCGTAGTAAAGCTGTCTCATTCGATCTCAAGTGAGAAAAGCTTCAGTTCAGGCTTCGACGAGTCAGATCTGCCTCAGTTGAGTCATTGATTGATAATTCCAATCATCCACCTTGATGTGATTGAGTGCGCCGTTTATGCAAGTATACAAGTCAAACCCCGTTTGCCAAACACTCACATCTTTGTGATTGGTACTAGCGGCGGAGATGTGGCTGCACTTCTTAGATCCTGTAGAAGATATCCAGCCTGCACTGTGGCTCCTCACTCAATATGTTTGACACGTTGAACTGACTTATATCATAAGTTACTCAGGAGTAACTTACGGAAATTTTCTCTAAACCTCCTCATTAGCACACTGTTTCGGGAGATCATCGCTCGGATCATCTTCGATGACTCGGCAGGGAGATCATCTCCCTGCCGAACGTGACCTGAGGCTCACATGTCAGGTGGCGTTGCATTCTTATAGCATAGGGTGGGCGGTCGGCATTTCACTTGACGGAACCTCAAATAAGGGCCTCAGGATAGACCATCTCCCCTGATCAGGGTTTACTACGGGCTATAGCGATTCTATGTTTGAATTTTGCGGAAACCGTTCCACTCATCTAGAGTCAAAACATATGGCTTTGAAAGAGCCTGATCTCGTCGTTCTCTCGTTTCGCAAGTTGATTTCTTAGATTCAGTGTAGCATGTAAACCCATGAGGCCAAAAAAAAAACTAGAAACATTAAGCTTTTGCCTGGGCAGTCCCTTTTGATGCAAGGGTATGTACACACCTTCCAAATTTTAGCCCAATTTTTCAATGAGATACTACATTTGGAACATATAATATTCAAAGCAATGTGCAATTGCATGCTCATTTTCTAACCAAGGCCCGCATCAATTTTTAACATAGCCTCCTGCAATCTTTTTTCGTCCGATACACGGCTAAGGTGTTTGCTTGGATTGGTGCAAAATACATTTTAATTTCAAGATGCAATAAGCCATTGTTTAAAAAAACCCAAAGAGAAATGCCTCTTATGGGGTCAAACTTACAGGTTGATGAAGAGGGTACTATCGCAGCTGCAGCTACCGTAATCACCATGGTCAGAACCTTGCCTCTGTTACCAAAGGATCCTATTACTTTTACAGCAGATCACCCCTTCATATTTATTCTTACCAAAAATAATAGTCCACTTTTTACTGGGCAATTCGTTGCTTAAATATAATCACACGCATAGCTATTCATGACACCCGACAAAAAAAGAATTAGCTAAATGATTTTTCCGGTCACATTTCTGAGTAATAAATGTTTTGACTTCAACAGAGAACTCAGTTTAATTAAAAATAAAATTTGAATTCAAGTACACATTTCTCGCAGACTACTATAGCGAAATTGGAAGGCAAGTGATGCGTAACAGCAGAGAGCCCAAATGATATTCTGCCCAATAATACAAGACAGCTATTCTTCAACAGTTTTTTTACCTACTGAGACCAGAGGCACACATTTTGTGTGGAACTACTTACAGGTTCTAAACCTATAAGTAGTAAACACTTTGTAATAAGTTTTGAACCTATGAGTCATTCTGTCTGGGCTTCCTTTACGCTGTCACAACAATCACTCGAGATGAATACAGAATTCCGACAATTTTATGTGTTATAAGCAGGGCACTCTACGTATTATCGTTACCTCTTGAGAAAGCATTCTGCCAGCTCTAAACATTCAGGTATAGGGGTCTGCAGGATCGCGAGAGTAGGACGTGCGCACGGCCATTGTGTCGCGGCTCCGCGATGCGAGCGCTCCTAGAAGTAGGAGGCCGGGAGCACTGGTTGCTGCCGCGCTACACGGCGACGATATCGGCACTTTCTTACGTTCGCCGCAATCGCCGCTGGACCTCTCCTCGCCTTGGCGCGTTGCCAGCCAAAAGGCTATATATAGCGGCGGCGCCTCATTGCAGCGTCTGTTCGCTTTCGTTTTCGATCGATAATCTTTTCGTATGTTTCTCATTGCGCTCGTGCTGGCAATTAGCTCCCGCTTTTGATGTTCTTTTGCGTTAGCGGTCGAGCGATCGGAAGTTGTATTGGATTGAGATTCAAGTGTGATTTGGATTCTTTTGGACGAGCTACTTTTGGAACTTTGGGATTTGAGATCTCATGAACTTCGAGCGGAGAGGTGTCGCGCCTGGTATCCGGCGACGCGTGGCGGATCTGTATTGGTGAAGCCTCGGGAGCATACTATTTATTTGTGTTTATAGTCGTGCGCATCGGTAGCACGGGATGGGGCAGCTCGTCCCGTGTTGAGCTTTATGTTTACTAGTTTAGTCCTTAGCAGTAGTAGTAATCTGTTTTTAGTTTAGTGTTCCTTTTGTCTATTTTAACTGTAGTTTTGTGTCATAAGGATAAAACGTTAGTAATTTAATACTGTCTCTTACGCGCGTAGGGCAAGTAGTAGGGTAGGCCGCGTCGTATGTAGTAAGCGGGCGAGCGTGCGGGTGTCTCGGGTAAATCTAGGTGCTTAGGGCCCACCGAGCCGCCACACATTGCGCCACGCACGTCAGATGTGCGTCCGACGACTCAGGTAGGTGCCAGACTTATCCTGTTGAACAGGTTCATTTGGTTCACCACCTTTGCTGTTGGATTAGTGATTTGACCTATGAACCGAACGAACCGGCTGAAGCGGATAAGTCTGGCACCTGCCTTAGTGACATCGGACGTACGCGGCGCAATGGCCGTACGCACGTCCGACTCTCGCGATCCTGCAGGCCCCTGTAACTGCGTTCCTCTATCGCGGCAATCCGCGTCGCTAGAAATTTGCGTCACGCGCTTGTCTGCCCTCTCTTCAAGCTCTTCGCTTTCTCCGACAGTGCGCATATGCGGCGCAAACCCCTAGCGCTGCAAGCGCGCAATTCACCCCAACGGCTCGGTCTGATCCGGCTTGGGGCAGACTGCACAGTGTTGCAGGAGTTACTGCAGCGATTATGCGGCAGGGGTACACAATACTTATCTCCCGTGGGGATAGTCCTGTGCGCTTGCGAGGTCAGTCTTCCTACAGTGTGTCATTTGTGGCTTATAGTCTGAGCACCGTTGCTAATATATGCAATCAGTATTCCATACAGTTCCCTCAGCATCGTTCTTGGTTTATTACTTCTTAGAAACATACTTGCTTACATACAAACATGTTTCTTTTTGCTAACTGTTGATCTATTTTGACCAAAGTGACGACGACTGACAACATGATGCATGCTAAGCCCTCACGAAAATCCTAATTTAGGCGAAAAAAAAGATCTGATTAGGAAAGGATACCTGGTTGAAGTGACCATTTGGGAAAAGATGTTATGAATATATAACTTTTGAGGCTTTCTGGATTTGAGTTTTCGTAAAAGCAGTGATAAGCTTTCTTACAATTAGAATAGGCATTTTCGTATAAAGTACGATGCAAAGCAATGCTTCCGTGGATCTGATTGTGAGATAGCGATGATTAGCTCGGCCGCGCAGTCGACAATGTAAGCGTTAATTCCTGTTTCGGCAACTTTTTCATTTTTTCAAGACATTTTGCTCTAGGCTATCACATGAATGACGGGTGGTCATTCAATAAATTCATTTAGCTAGCTTGTTTGTAGCAAAAGCGCATGCTGGGGAAAATAATGCAAGATGATGCAACAAAAACCTGCTTTGTTGCCTGCAAAATCAAGCAATCCACCATTATGTCAAATAACCGCAGTAGTACTGCTTTGCCGTCCTTTGTGGAGGAGATATCGATTCTCGGAGAGAATAACAGATTCTTTTTTTACAGAAAGTTTGAGAAGTTAGCATTTCGAGAGCTGCTAACACATATGCAAACCTTCCCATAAGGCCACTTTGACCAAGTATCATTTCTCCGTGAGAACTTTATAATTGGGTTGAGTATTATAATTTCGGCGTTCGGCGTGCAGAAATGCTGCTGACAAGTCGTTTTGAAAATATGGGCATTGTTCGGTTATGCTTGAGTTTTGGCATGAGAATCACTTGTAGACGTAGTTTTCAAGCTACATCGAGATTGGTAACAATACTTTTGAAAATTTTTGATATTGTCAGAAAGAGTAATTCAAGAAAAATTTTATCTACTCTGCTTGAACAGATTTTTTTTGTTGACGAGGTAGTGCAAGAAACAGGAAAAATTTTCTCGTCCTATTTTCGCAATAACATGCGATAAAAGACGAATCGAAATTGAAATCCACATATGGAATTTGCGGATGAAATATGCGAGTTTTTGCACTCAAAAATAATGCAGATTACGATTTCAGCTTGCATATTTCAGCTAACTGCAGGCTGAAAGCGGAACGTAGGAAATCAAGTATGTAATTTTCAATAGTCTAGTTACATGATGAGGTGATTTTTTATTTACTGATGACGGGAAAAACTGAGCATTCTGTTGAAAAGTCATTTTGAAGCGAAGTTAAATATTGGCCAAATAAGTGTTATAGGCTAACCTATCTATTTACTAACAAGTGACCCTGCTAGTTGCTCAGCTTCGGCTTCCATCCCAAATTGGCAACTGAGACTGCTCAAAAAAGCTAAGAGCAGCTGAAGCTGATGGAATGAATTTCGAATTTCACTCAGGCTGTTAAAATGCTTGAGTGTCTGCTGTTAAAGATGTAAGCGCACAGGTACTGAACACTGTTCGGCCTTGACGATAGAAAATACACATCACATTCAATCTCTTCGATATCATCAGCATCAGATCAAGCAGCCTTATGTTTTCAGGTTGACGAGGAGGGAACCACTGCTGCTGCTGCGACGGTCATCGGGATAGTGGCTACATCAGTCAATATAAATGTCCCCAAGACATTCATAGCAGACCATCCTTTCATATTTGTTTTAAGCAAACGCAACAATCCTCTATTTATAGGGCAATTCGCCTGAAAATAAGACACACACTTTAAATATCATTGTCTTTGGATTTTACTCGCATTAGAATCAATTCCTGTACTATACATAGATGGTGTCATTTATTTAACAACGACAAAACAAGTGTTTCTAAAGTCTTCAAGTACATATCGGAACGCAACATACAGTCTTCTCATCAAAGACAGTGCTAACATACAAGCTTCCTTAAGCTACCAGGCGCGTCACAAGCACAAAGAGGTGTACAGAGCTTATCGGTTGAAGTGTCGGGTGCACCCAGCATGCATCTCCGTTCCGGCGCTGGACTCTGCGTTTCATCCGCGAAACATGCTGTCTGAGCACTTTTCCAGGCCGAGCGTGAGAAAGGCGGAGCCTCAATCGTAGATTGGAAGTATTTAGAGAGCATGTCCTGCCAAAGAGACGTAGAGTCCAGCGTGGAAGGGGTTGCTGGTGCACCCGACACTTCATCTGTAAGCCCTGTGCAGTGTGTGCAAAACTCCAGGTGTTGAATATAATGGTGAAAAAATTCAGAATTTGAATAGGTACAACTCAGAGATACTACAGTTTAGAGTTCGACAAAGCGATAATCTTACTTTACCAACTTCCATTACAACAGAGTAATCAGAAAGCGTCCAGGAAATCGGTAAAATACACACGGTACTATATCGGGACTAAAAACACCTAGGATTTGACGTTAGCACAAGTTAAAAATAGGTTCAAAAGTTTTGAGACTAGAATATATGCAGAAGAATGCTCAAACGCTTTTGGCATGCATACATTTTTTAAAAGCGTTGGTTCTACTGTGACCGGAAGCAATAACTTCAATCTCGTATATGAAGTTTCAGCGTCTGTGTGTTTGTCTTTCTGTCTGTATGTCTTTCTGTGCGTACCCTTTGTATCATTGGGAGTGATGGGGACTCGTGTGTGTGGGATGCTCAAATGTTCTGCGACCACCTCTCCTCTTCACTTTTATCTAAAGTAAAGTAGCTTGCTTCCAGCAATATGAAGGAGTAATAATCTTCTGTTCTTGGCAATTTGATATGCGTGATACATCGAAACGACCTGTTGTGTTGCAATGCGGAGCTTGTGTGCCACTATGATGTTAAAAAACAGCCAAAACTTAGGGTCTTGTAAACAACTTGAGTAAAATTTACGTATTCAACTTTTGCTCCTACTCTGAAACGCATTCGATACTCCTAGGTCGTAGCAAGCATCACTCATTTTGTCCATGACAGGAAAGCCCTTCGGTTTTTCTACTCCAAGTGAGCTCATACTGCTTTCAAAAAGTTTGTTTTTTGTTTCCTTTACTGCACTGACTAGCTAACTATCAGGAGATCTGATAAAGCTGAAAACTGCACTTGTTGCACATTTGAAATTGGGGGAACGGAACTTAGGTCCCCTGATAGCCAACTGAGATGTAATTTCGGAGGTCATGAGTTGTCAATAACGATAATTAACACATCTGCGGAGCGCATGCTAGGCCCCGCCTCTATCCAGATACCTTTCGCAACCTAGCAGAGGTCCATCAGGACGCGCCCCGTGATAATGAAACGGGGATTTCAAACGAAATTGAAATGCAAAGTTCAGTATCGAAATTTCGCCAAACCAAGTGAAAACTTGGATTTAGGGGTTTTCAAGTATGCTCTTTTCAAATATGGAAATCCCATCTGCCTCAAAGCTCACCACGGACCGCTTACTAAGAATGAAACAGGGAATTTCATACAAATTGCATTTGAAAATTCAGTATTGAAGTTTCACCAAACAAAGTAAAAACTTGGACTTAGGGGTTTCAAGTACGCTCTTTCCAAATATGTAGAGAATTTTTTTATAAGAACATGTACAAGATTTGTAAAAAAAATTCAATTTTTTTGCATCAAATTTCAACCAATTCAAAAAAAAACATATCGTAGATATCAGAGAATTTCATCGTATTCGCTAGTGGAGTTATTTTGATGCTTCACCGTTCCGAGTATCAAAATTTTTACAGTGGCAAATTCCATGAAAACAAAATTACGCTGTTTGACTGTTGGCTGTTTGACCCAACTAAACTCCGTTCACAATGCACTGCATTGAAAATTTTTTTTGAATTGGTTGAAATTTGATAAAAAATTGAATTTTTTTTACAAACCTTGTACATGTTCTTATAAAAAAAACTCTTTACATATTTGGAAAGAGCGTACTTGAAAACCCCTAAATCCAAGTTTTCACTTGGTTTGGCGAAATTTCGATACACAACTTTGCATTTCAATTTTGTTTGAAATCCCCGTTTCATTATCACGGGACGCGTCCTGGTGGACCTCTGCTAGGTTGCGAAAGGTATCTGGATAGAGGCGGGGCCTAGCATGCGCTCCGCAGATGTGTTAACTATCGTTATTGACAACTCATGACCTCCGAAATTACATCTCAGTTGGCTGTCAGGGGACCTAGGTTTTCTCACCCTTAAAATTGTGGAACATTTAGTAGAAGTTGGTCTTTTTGCACGGACGGTCTTCAGCGCCACCCTGATAACTTGTCTTAACAAGTACACACGCGGCAATATCCTACTTTTCGCTGTGCTTTGCTTAGAAAAAAGCCGCTGCTGAGTTTGTCGCGCGCGGCGGTTCCTGTTTGAATAGCCCTATGGTCGGGCGCATCGTCCTACACTCACTTTTGATATGCTCAGCGATAAACCTTTGAGCATGTTGGCATCTCAATCGATTTATCATTTTCTTCAACAATATCATTCGTTGCTGCCTTATTTGTTCATGCATGAACTTCCACGCACGAAGTAAAGACTTTCTCGATGATAAAGTCTGCATCATCAGCGTGAACTCATGTTTCTTCTGCAAGCTGCCTGGTGCCAGTGAAAAAATGCTTACTTCTGTCTTTGCCCGGGTGAGACTGCATTATCCTGATCTTGCATTTTGCAATTTTTGTACCATTTCTTGATGAACTCGTACGCTTCAGCAGCACATACCTTGTAATAATCGAGTGCGTTTGCTATTGTAAAATCAGCTTATTTCCTAACATTGATCAAATGTATGATCGGTTTCCAGGTTCGTGTAGAGGCACACTAAGGACTTTCGATAGCGTTGTTTGAGTTTTTGAGCCGCCACGTGGCAGATGCTTTCTCAAACTTCCTCGCCGTCAAAATTTACACGCTCCTAGCGCTCCGCCTCTACGATCTGGGATCCGATGGTAGATGGTTATTGGTAATGGGAAGAAAGACTATGCTTTTCTTGCATATGATGCAGTCTCACTTAAATATGATTTCCACACATGGATTTCGACTATATCATATGTGGAAGGAGTTCATCCGAAAACTCTACTCTAGATCCTTACTTTTCTGTATACTTTTTCTTTTGTTTAAAGTTGTCTTTCACTTATAAAGAAGGAATTACGCCAAAAGTTTTGCTTGACTAAGCTGAAATATCGACAAATCTACATGATTAGAATCAATCGTTATGGTATGGGGAGTCGAGGTATCATGCAGTAAATCAGCGACCGCGGCTGAAACTCGGCAGCTCCGCTGCCTCGCTTACCTAAACCTTTTGATAGTCTTTTTTACACGATACTTACATATGTATCAGCATGTGCAAATTGAGAAAAACATGAATACATTGAGCTTTGCCAGTCCGTTCTCTTAATCCAGCAGCACAACACAACCAATAAGTAACAATATCAACATGAAATGGCTTACAACAACAATAACGACCAAGATGGAGGAGAGAATAGAAAATAGGGTAAGATTAAGGCAATTAACTATGCAAGACCTCGCTGAAATTAACGTTGAGTGGGTCGGGGTTGGCGGCTTGCACGATGAAACCTTTGCGCAATCTCACGCGGCTGAGGGCCACATAGAGTTGGCCGTGACTGAAGATGTCACAGTCTGACTCTAGCAAATAATTGGCCTTGGGATTGTTTGATACTCGTTGCGAAGGCCAGTCTGATGGGAAATTGAGAATGTCGAAGCTTAAAAGGCAGATTCTTGCCGTCGTAATTATATATTAGGTTGGAAACTAAGTTTTGCAACTGGTCTCATAACTTCCCTCTCACTCAACATGGCGCACTCAAATTTTGCCACTGCGTTGGTTATTATGTAAGATGCAAGCGCAGCTGCTGTCCTACCAAATTCTGACGTCGCAGTGAGGGTTACGGTAGGTGCATGGTATGAAGGGGAAAAATTCCAAGTTTGACGGATTTGGCTGAAACTTGGCATAGGGGTGTTATCCGACATGCTGATCACGAAAACGATAGTGAAATTGCGTGATAAGGGCTTTTTTATAGGATTAATGTAGGTGCATGGTATAGGGTCTCACCCTAAACAAGGAAAAAGGCGTTGGTATCAACAAATGAATGTGTTATTCGCGTTTGGTAGGTCAAATAACCTTACTATGTCAAGTCTCGGCGGAATTTGAGCTTCCGACTCTTTAGTCATTGACAGTCGTCCCCAGCAGCTTTTGCGTACATCGACTCGTTCGACTTTATAAGGACGCCAAATCTCGACATGCCCCTAAATTTTGTTTCTTTCTTAGGCCAAAGGAGCCAACTTCCAGCAATAATTTATAGACGAATCCGGATTACTGCGCATAGCCTAGGCTGCCAAAGGCTTCATTTTAGCTTGAAACAAAATTCTCAAATTTCACTAGTTTTCGAAAAACGCCTGAAACTTTTTATTTCGTGTTCGAAATTTAGACAATTTGTGCTCACTTGTAGCTCACATTGCCTTTTACATAATGCCAAAGTTTGAGTGCGCCATATCCAAAGAGAGTGAAGTTATGAAACTAGTTGCAAAACTTAGTTTCCAGCCTAATATTATCGGAACCAATACAGTTTGCCCGTAGCGTCACCGGTAATGAATTTGCAGCGGATCACGCGACGATCCATATCACAGACCTGCAGCCGGGTTCCATTGCAGAGCTTAGAAAAGACGTCCAGGTTTCGAAGCAGCATTACGATGGCGCCCTCCTTCAACCTCAGACAGTGCGGTGGCAAGGAGGAAGTGGTGATCTTCTTAGGCCCCGGACAGACTTCACGCGATTGATCGTCGCGACTGAATCGCGACGAGACAACTGTTACAACATCATTCCATGCCAATCAACTTGCATTTCGGTTGTGATACTTTTCCAGCCCGATTTTGAATGTGAAATGAAAATGAATGGAAATGTTGGCGATTGAGTCGCGACGATCAAATCGCGTGAAGTTTGTCCGGGGCCTTAAGAAACTGGGTAGTGTAAAATTCAACCTGGTCGTTAGCATCCTCGATTACGATTTCATAGTGTGAGTAGTAGATCTCCTCTTCACCCTGCATGCGCAAAAGTACTTGCTCGTTAATGGCGTTTACGTCGGCACTTTTGGGGTCAAGATGGCTTGATCGGAAAGGTCGGCCGAGTGTTCGATGAAGTGTTCATAAAGCTCCGTAACATTGTCGCCATGGCCCATGACTTCCATCGACAGCTTTACGCGCAAAAGTACTTGCTCGTTAATGGCGTTTACGTCGGCACTTTTGGGGTCAAGGATGGCTTGATCGGAAAGGTCGGCCGAGTGTTCGATGAAGTGTTCATAAAGCTCCGTAACAATGTCGCCATGGCCCATGACTTCCATCGACAGCTTTACGCGCCCTTGACAGTCGTTGGCATTGCCGTCGCCCACACTCGCCCGCACGCAAAATAAAGTGCGTCCACTTTATATGGCTGGACTTACTCGCATGTTGGCGGAGAGACGGAGAATCGTAAACTGCGGTTACAGAAAAGACTGCTTGATGCATACGCTTAGTTGGTCCACTCATCCCCTGCGTACAACCGGTAGGATCTGTCTAAAGTCGCCACCGAGAATGAGCATTTTTCCATTAAAGGGTCTCTGTACTTGCGTCATAGCACGAAACACAGCGTCCACCGTCTCGAAAGCTGTCTTCGGGATCATTGAGGCCTCATTCCAGATGATGACGTCATTTTCAGCAAGCAGCCGTGCGTCCTTCATCTGTTTTTTTGTGAGAAGATGGCTCACAATTATTCATAATATCGAGCTTGAACAACGAAGCAGAAATGTGGCCCGACGGAATTAAGTTGGCCGCGATACCTGTTCAAACAGTGCAAACGACAAGCAAGACACGAATCAACAGACAGTGTGCAGAAAACAATCTGGAATCTGGCTTACTTGGATTGCCATTGTCTTTGCTCCAATCCCTGCTGGCCTTGGCCAAGAGAGAGGTTGAGGGTCTAGATTTTTTCCTTGTCGTATCTAAAGTACAACAATTAGAATCAGAATCATAAATATATCACTCACCCCACTCGAGCAATGAAATCGTCGCACATTAGATTGAACTCCTTACGGTCTCCGATGGGAATATTAACGATTCTGATATACTCCGACAAAACCTTGTTTTGGATAGATTCTTCGTATTGGCGACGTCTCTCTTCCATCCGAAAAATGTAAAATTAGCTAAGAGAGCACACATGGAACAACCATAATCCAAAACGAACGAAAAATGACTAATATGTAAAATTTTAGGCCAAACGGTGACTTTCGTTTGAAGGACGTTCCTACAACAACTAATTGGACCCCTGAGTTACAGTAATTTAAAGTTGGAGCATGTTTGCCAAGAGCCACAAAATCACTTCTACTGTTACAAAAAGACTTATGTCAACTAAGAGGAAACAAGGAAAAGTGGAATACAGATAGTATAACGAAAACATTTAATTACGCAATATTAGCAATACAGGCAATTTTACTATTGATACAAGCATTTTTTTGCCCTTAAAGTGCGCTAATCCATAAGCAAATAAGTTATAAGTGATTATTACTTGCATAAGAATAAATACTATGTATCAAACACGAGGGGATAGGTTGTGCACCTTACAATGGTGGGTTTAGTTTTCCTTCCTTTTTCCTTTTTTTTCGTCTTTTCCCGGGTACCACTGATGGGGTTTACACAAGTAATCACTGGCAAGGAAGGGTAAGTGCTAGGCCTCCGGTAGCTATTCTTCCAAAGGGAGCGCCAACCCCTGGGAGCAGTCCTCCCGAAACTTTTAGTAACCTTCCCTCTGGTATGGGATGGGGCCCTTCTATACCTTAGATCTAGGCTCAAAAACAATAGAAATACAAATGGTTATTCCCACTCTTACTTTCAAGGTTCTACTTTCTGTAAGCGTAAGGTATCCGGCGGGTAAAACCTACTGAATTTCGGCAACGATAATAAGGGCAAAAAATGTAATCAATCCTGTAACATATGCAGTAAAATAGACTCTAACAATTATGTAATACTAGCTGGCTTACCCGGCTCCGCCGTATGTTCCAAACAGAAAATTCCATTTCTTAACCGATCGGACCAAACTTGACACACATACACTTCGGGCCCCGGCGGGTGTCACAGTCCACTTTTCGCTATCGATCGATATCGATTTTATCGATTTTTTGCAAAATTTGACCTAGGGGGCTGGAATTTGGCAGGGGGGTGTAATCGAGCATCGGGCTGATCACCCTCGATTACACCCCCCTGCCAAATTCCAGCCCCCTAGCTCAAATTTTGCAAAAAGTGGACTGTGACACCCGCCGGGGCCCGAAGTGTATGTGTGCCGAGTTTGGTCCGGATCGGTTCAGAAATGGAATTTTCTATTCGGAACATACGTACAGACAGACAGACATACAGACAGACATACAGACAGACAGACAGACAAACAGACATTCAGCTTTATATATAAGATCACAAATCACTGGATTCAAAACTGGTACCTATAAACACACAGTGTGTACCTGTAATTCAAAAAAACATTGTATACTGCATTAAATGCGGTACTTGTGGTTTACAGTATGTTGGAATAACCAATCGAAAACTCAGTGAAAGAACCAAAGAACACATTAGAGGTATAACCAAGGAAAGCGATGATAATATATTATATAGACATTTTAAGGAAAAAGGATGCAATAGTAAGAGTATTAAAATGTTAATCCTGGACAACTTTCCAGACAATCAAGACAAAGAAATACTTAGAGACAAAGAATTTTTTGGATTAAATTATTAATGACTTCTTTCCCATTCGGTTTCAATGACAACTTCAAAGGCTATGGAAATCTCAGTCCAATCCAGAACCCTTTGACAATTTCAAAATCTCATCAGTTTTTCAGCCTCAAAATATCGAAAGATAGAACAAATAGAGGCAACCATAGACACAACAATAGTCCAGACAGTACCATAGAAGAATTCACCAACGGAATCAATCTGATTTTTGAACACACGGAAAACCCATATGAAATTTTCAAATATCTGAAGTCCAAACCACATGAGTATATTTCCAAGCTTATACACCACCTAATTTATCCCACCAACTATTTCCATTTATCAAGAACCAATAAAATCATATTACTTGGTACACTTTGCTACTACCACTTCAACAAACAAGAAGATAAAAATAAAAAAACAATTCAAAAATCTGCCTTCAATGTAAAAAACACTTTTTACAATGTGATTCTGGATAGAGTTAATCTGAATAAAGTTTTCAACAACCAAACCGTCAAAGCTCTAATCACTGAAGGAAACACGGAATTCAAAAAATTTAGAGTTATTTTTGAATATAATAATCCAATCTCTACACGTATTTTTGATATAACAAGTATTTAAACACAATCCAATATTTTGATATTGCAAATATACCTTGTATTTGTAATAAATACCAAACTTCTGTATCCAGCCATCACAAACATGTTGCTACAGGAGATATCAGTATTTTTAACAAACTAGACATATATGAAATCCTCAAAATAGGTACAAAATTTCGACCTCCATACGTATTTACTAAGCAAAAAATCCAAAGTATTTGGTTAGATATACTTAAGAATACATTATTAAATTAAAGAAAAATACCACTTGAACAGTCATATTATTGAAAAATCTGCAAGATAGTCTACCACAACTTCGGAAAAATTGAGTCTATACTATTCTACTGCATTAATAGTAATACATCAGTTAAGATCTATAAAAAAGAATTTGACTATATACAGGGTGTGGCAAAAGTCTGGGAGCCTAGTACTTTTTCGTACAAAACGAGAAGGGAAGTATCTAGAAACGAAAAATTTGGCGCACACATAATTCGAACCATTGCAGATACAGCCCAGTTCTTGAATTGCAAAACTGCCTCTTTTGGCTTCCACGCAGCCCTACAAAATCTTGGCAAGTCCACCTGTCATGGCACGCAGGTAGTCGTAATGGAATTCGCCCCACGCCTTCACAATAACTGCTTCTTTTACTCTGGCAGATGCGCAGCGTGATAGAGCAAACTTTTGTCTACAACATACTTCCAAAAGAATTTTTGCTTTGCTTGGGAATAAATATATTGGATTTTCAATTAGAAGCATGGGCTACAAATAAAAACTCAAAATTATCGTTTGAAGTATAAAAAGTGTTCCTATAACCGAACTTCAATAGATTCTAATTTAGAAGACGTACGCAAAAAATACAGCCTTGGTTCCAGTGCCCGTTGAACATTCTATAGCTTTTAAATTTGTTCTGAAGACGGATTTCCACTGGCACGTAGGTAACATTCGCAAACTTTTATTTTCCGTTCATGCAAGAACAGCTCGTAGCAAAAGCAAAACTAGGACACAATAGCGCAAAGCCTCTTCTATGTTGTGTGCATCGAAGTTTTGTAAAATATTAACAGCTTCTCTAGTTACAGCAAAAATTGTTAATACCAAAAATTCTGGTTTTTTCGCTTTGCAAAAGTATTAGTTTGGTAATTCCAATTCTTACAAAAACATATGGCAGCCATTTCCAGCCAAATAAAGTGTATCCCGCAGAGGATCACCGCAGCATCATGTTGCATAAAAATGAAATCAAAACCATCAGTATCTTTGTAATTGCAATACTGCAAAGTTAGGCTCCCAGACTTTTGCCGCACCCTGTACATAATTTCTTTGTAATCTGCCTCCTTGATAAGGCTAGTTCCAATTACGGAATCATTTGCAAAAGACTATACTTAAAAATGATAATGGAAGAAATAGGTTTGACTACACATAATAATGATAATCATATATATGATAAGGTTGAGCATTCCAATATAGAAGAAATCATTAACAGACATCTTACTTTTACTAAAAAATATGCACATTAATACTAACGAAGGTTGTAATATTCCCGTTATCTATTGCTTACCCAAATTACATAAGAACCCTATAAAATTCAGGTTTATCTGTGGTGCGTATGACAGCAGTACCAAACCCATAACAATTGATTTGTTAAACCTTCTTAATTTTATTATCAATCACTTCAGAAACTATGCAAACACTGTTTTTAAGGATAAAAAAATGCTTACAAACCTACTGGGCTATTAGCAGGGTTGAGCGTGGGGTCAGGCGCGCCCGACCTGGGGGGTCGTACTGGGGTAAGACAGAGGGGGGGGGGGGAGTCGTGATTAGGAATCGAATTCGTTCGATTGAGGAGATACTACGATTAAGGTGAAGAAGAAAAGCTATTTAGTGGATCGCGACCTCACCAGTACTGAAGGAATGAACGGTCTTAAACAGCATACTGATTGATTCCACAACCGAAGTTTCGGCCAAAACTCAAATCTTCATCTTCTACCTTGACATATTATAAATTCATCAAGGAAGCTTGCTGTGTGAAATGGGTATCATTTCCGAGTACGTCAAATTACCTCTATGAGCCCTACAAACCATTATTTACTGCACTATCTAGTGTTTCTCAACGACTAAAAAGCGTGATTTTCAAACATGATTAACTTGTTTTCAAAAGTGAGAAAAGTCAATTTTTTTGTACTGGTAACAAAGTATTGTTCCCTACTAGTCTAGGCTAAAAATCGCGCTTTGTATCGCTTGCAAATAGTGGAGTAAGAAATAATGCCAAAATTCCGACCGGCGCGCTTTTCGCCATGACTGCTTCAACTCCATGGATTACCACAAGGCCGAAACAAGTCGAATCAAGTCCAAACACTTACTGTAGAATCTTCGAGGGTTGTGCTAGCGATTCACATAAAAATTGAATAAAAAAGCTTCTTCAATGATAAAGTTAATCGGGTCAGGCGCAACCCCACAAAAGGTCAGGCCGCCTGAGCTTTTGAGGGGTTGCGCCTGACCTGATTAACTTGTTTTCAAAATCTAAAAATCGCTCCATTTCTGCTATAAGTATTGAAATCAAAGCCTGTTCTTGCAATACTGCAAATTTGGAGCCAAACAATACACCCCTGTGGGAATTATAGCTCTAAAAGTAGGGCTATCCAAAATCCAAAACTTGCCGTCAAGTTGCGTGTGCTGTGCAATCGCAGAAAGTCGACCTACAGACCTCCAAAAAGCAAGAACCTCCCAAAAACGGCTGATCTCTTCGAATTATCACGCCTGAGGTCCTGGAGTTGAAGCAGAGGGGTCGTTTAGGGGCTTTCACTGGGGGGGGGTCGTTTTGGAAAGACTTGTG